AGAAGCGAGGGAGGAGGAGAAGGGAGAGAGGAGGAGAGGGGAGGGAGAAGGAAAAGGGAGGAGGAGAAGGGAGGAGAGAGGAGGGAAGAGGAGAGAGAAGGGAGGAGAAGGGAGTGGGGAGAAGGGAGGGGCCATCCTTCCCTGCCCCTGGGAGCTCACCTGCCAGTTTGAGGTGAGGCTTCTCCAGGGAGCTCAGCAGAATGTTCTGTGGCTTCAGATCCAGGTGAGAGATATTACGGCCATGCAGAAACTGAAGGGCACTGGCTGAAGAGCAGAAAGTGGAGGGCAAAGGAGTAAATTGCAGAGGGCCTCCCAGTGCTGGCAGACTTGGCCCCTCCCCCTTCACAAGCTTCCTGCTGCCCACAGTCCTGGAGGGGAGGCTAGAGCGACAGATAGAGCCTGAGAGGACCTTGGATCTCCAGTAAAGCCAGGGCCAGAGCAAGGTCTCCTCCCTGACACCCGGGATCCCATCTTGTCACTCAAGGCCTTCTCCAATGCCCTTTCTCCCACTGTGCCAGATCCCCATCTAAAGGCCCTGCCCCAGCCAGGCCAGGCTCTTCACTGCCCCCACCAGCACCAGGGGACATTGTAAGGGTCCTGGTTCAGGCCATCCCCACCAGTGATCACCTCTCCTTCCTTCTTCCCAAAACCGACCGTCCAAAGCCTTTACCCAACTGCTGCAGGAAGATGCGGGCCACCTTCTCTGGCAGGATTCGGCGGGTGCGGATGAAGCGGGACAGATCGCCCCCGGCACAGAATTCCATGATGAGGTAGATGTTGTCACTGTCCCACTGGGGAGGACACAAGCATGACGAGAACAGCATTAATTACAACAATAGTTAGCATTTATCTTGCCCAATCTCATCTGATCCTCCCAACAACCCTATTGGGTAGGCACAATTATTATCCCTATTCTACAGATGGCAAAACTGAGTCACAGAGAGGTTCAGTAATTTGCCCAGGGTAACACTGATAATATTTGAGGTAAGATTTGAATTCAGATCTTCCTGACTTTATCTACAACTAGGGACAGTGAGGTGGCACAATGCACAGAGTGCTGGACTTGGAATCAGAAAAGATCTGAGTTCAAATCCAGCCTTAGACACTTACTGGCTGTGTGACTCTGGGCAAGCCACTTAAGCTCTGCCTCAGTTTCCTCACCTGTAAAATGGGGATGATAATAGCACCAACCTCCCAGGGTTGTTGTGAGGACATAATAATCGTTGTTGTTGTTATTATTAGTATAGCTAGCATTCCTATAGTGCCTACTCTGAGCCAGGCACTGGGTTAAGTACACGCTTTACCATTATTAACTCATTTTAAGCACTTAGCACAGTGCCTGGCACAGAGGCCTATAGGAATGCTAGCTATACTAATAATAAACCTAATAGAATGCCTGTTCCCTATACCACCCGTGATCCCAGGCCACCCTTGCCCTCCCAGGGCCATGACCACCTCCCTCCTTCCCCTCTCCCCCTTGATCCACAGACCTGGAAGTCCTTTAGCTCCACGATGTGGGGGTGCCGAATAGCCTTGAGGATCTCGATTTCGGTCAGCAGGTTTTCCACTGATGCCTTGTTCAGACTCTTTTTGCTCACACACTTGATGGCTACCACCTCCCGGGTGTCTTTCTGCAGAGACAGATGGGGAGGTAATGGTGAACTTGCCCTGATTAGGAGGGCAGTCCCTGGGACAGAGAGACCTGTCCAGCTTCCCTTCATCCCATGCTCTGGGTCATCCAAGCAGGGACCAGAGAGGCATGCCTCCAAAGGCAGGAAATCACCTCCTCAGTCCTGACCCATTCAGCTTACCTTATGATGCTCAATTCAGTTACTAGTATTTTTTAGGCACCTACTATGTGTCAGGCACCATGCTCAGCACTGGAGAATATGAGGGCAAAAACTAATCAGTCCTACCCTCAAAAGCTTACGTACTGTTGGGGGGAGGGAGCGAGAAACAAGCCCACACAAAAAAAATACAAAGTATACAAAAAAAAAAATTTCCTTCATTTCATTTCACATATGCCGAGCACCAATTACTGGGAAAATCAGGAAAAGCTTTTGGTAGGAGGTACCATTTGAACTGAGCCTTGAAAGAAGCTGCAAATTAAAATAATAATAATAATAATTAGCGATAATAATGATAATAGCTGTCATTTACATAGTATTTACTATGTGCCAGGCACTGTGCTAAGTACTTTACAAGTATCATCTCATTTTATCCTCACAACAACCCTGGCAGGTAGGTGCCATTATTATCCCCATTTTACAGATTAGGAAACTGAGGCAAACAGGTTAAGTGACTTGCCCAAGGTTACTTGGCTAGTGTCTACAGGGTGGCTTTCTAATAGAGCTGAGGAGGAACTGGGCAAAGGGCACAGAAGATGAGAGATATTGAATGGGGTGTATAGGAAATACAAGTAAGCCAGTTCTGCTGGAATATAGATTGCGTGAAGGGGTATAACATGTCTATCTTTGAAGACTAGGTTGGGGAGAGATCGGGAAGGGCTTTAAATGACAAAGTCAGGAGGCTGAAGCGGTAGTAACAGTCCTGCCTGGGATGGATGCCACCGCCACACAGAGCCTCTGTATCTGAGAGGCGGAACCAGGGGCCTCAGGGGCTCCCGACCCTGGCATCCGGATGAGAGGCCTGGCTTGTTCTGGAAGACCCCTGCGGAGCGGGAACCCGCACCTTCTACTTTGGACAGCTCCTCGAGGAAGCCTTTGCCGCGGCAGAACCGAGCACAATTGAGCCCCTTCCATCTCCTGCATGAGGGGGCGGCCGAGTAGGATTGGGTGGAGGAGTTTATTGTTGTTATTAATGAGAAGATGCACCTTTCCTTCTGGTTCAGCCCACGCATCCCTTCCCAGAAGCCTTCCCTGGTCTCTCTCGTTCTATATAATTTGTCTTTTACTGGTTTATCCGTGTGAATGCTGTATTCCACCCCAGGGGAATGGAAGCTCACGGAGGGCAGGGAGGGATGGTTTTTTCCCTCTTCGCCTCGGTACCCCTGGCTGCTGGGGCTCAGGGAGTTTTAATAGACATGACAATGAGGAGCAAAGCCGCCAAGCACTTCCCCATCCACAACACCTGGGAGGGAAAAAAGCTGCCAGGACAGGCCAGGCCAGGCTGGGTAGGGCGGGAGTCCTGGGGGCCCGAGGGTCCGGGTCATGCGGGGCCGGCTGGGAACCCCTTCCCCAGCCTCGCCCTCCCCCCCCTTTCCAGGGCAGCTCCGCGGCGGGGGGCCCTCCCCCAAATCCGGTTTCGCTTCTCGGAATGGGCCGCTCGGGGGGCCAGGCTTTCCCGGCCTGGGGCGTGGGGGGCCGAGACGTACCCCAAGCCGGGCACCGGAAAGCCTGGGGCTGGTCCGGGCTCTCCCTTTCCTCCAGGGCCCCTCCCCTGCGCGCGCCCCGCCCTCGCCCGCCCCCCACCTTGCCGTAGGCCTTGTACACCGTGGCGTACGTGCCGCTGCCCAGCCGCTCGGTGAGGATGAAGCCGTCGAGGCGCGGGGGCGCCCAGCCGGGCCCCGCCATGGTGGTCGCGGCCCCGGCCCCGGCCCCCAGCCGTGCGCGGCGCTCGGCAGCGCAGGCCTGGCCGCCACTTCCTGGTTGCGGGCCCGACTCCGCGCTGCCCCCAGCGCCGGCCGTGAGCAGTGCAAGGCGTTCGTTCTCCGGAGCGTGCCGCGGGGTCCCAGCGCGGAGCCCGCAGCGGTCCTTCTGCAGGCGGAGAAACCGAGGCCCTACAGCCCGGTCACAGCTCTTCCCGCTGGGCTTCCTGCGCCTCCGCCCCCACCCCCCCCCCCACCCGGGCCTCCCCTTTCCTTTCCCTGGCGGCGGCGGGGGGAGCTCACAGAAGATGGGGTCCCCAGCCCCCGCTCAGCAGCCCCCTCACCAGGCCACGGTTGTCCCAGGACCATCTGCTTTTTATCGTTATTATTTTTTTTTAATTCTGAACTTAAAACACCAAATAAGATGGGCATGTCCTAAAGCTGCCCTGAAGGACACAGAGCGCGCTGGTCCTCCCAAAGGAGGCAATGCCCCGGGCCTGGCCAGCCGCGCTGGGGCCTGAGCCCTTCTGTTCTCCTCGCTCCTGCCCCTGCCTCCCCCCTCCTTTAAACGGAAAAATAAATAAAAAAAAACTTAGACCAAATACAGCATAATCAAGCAAAACTGGTATTTGCTTTTAAAACCTTCGTTCCTGGCTAGTTTCCAGTAGGCGAGAGATTAAAAGATTAAAGTCAAAGTGGGACCCTCTTTTCCTTAACGTTAAATAGTTAACAATTATATAACGCTCTAAGGTTTGCAGTATTTGTTCCTCACAACAACCCTGTAAGGGAGGAGCTACTATTCCCATTTCACAGATGAGGAAAGTGTGGCAGAAGTGCCTTGCCCAAGGTCACACAGCCAGGAAGCTTCCATCCTTTAGACTTTAATGCCACCTGAATACCTTGACCTGTCTTGCCATCTGGGCCCAGGAAGTCTCCCCTTCATGGGCGAACCAAGCAAACGCTGGAAAATCTTCCCCCTCCCCCATTTCCCTGCTTCCAAGGAAAGAAATCTGTACAGTGAGAAAGGTTCACTTTCTCCATCCATAGTTTTTATTTAAAGCACAAAAGTTAAGACATGACATATACATTTGTACACAGAGAAGGAAAAAAAATATATCTGAGAAATGGGGAGTAGGGAGTCCTTAAAAACTCATTCTTTGCCGCTATTACTAGGTACATCTGGATCCAGAGGGAAGTCTAGGGCCTGTTCACAAAGCACAGAGCAGTCCCCCCGTGATTGGATGAGCACAGGCACCTCCTCCCCGACCTCCCGAGGCTCGTCAGGAGGTGGCACTGAGGGCTTGGCCTTAGTTTTGCTTCTGGAGATAGGTAGCCAATAGGGGGCCCAGCTGAGGGTTCTCTCTCTTCACAGCGAACACCTGGGGGGGGGGGGGGGGGGGCGGCCGGGCGGGGGGCCCCGCGCCCCGCGGGGGGGGGGGGGGGGGGGGGGGGGGGCTGCAGCCTAGCCCAAAGTCCTGCTAAGCTTCCTGGGAGAGCAGCCTGGAGGAAGGATGGTGGGTCCTCCAAAATCCAGGCCAGGCGGCAATCTATTGCTGATGGAAAGGGGTGGAGGAGGGAGAAGAGAGCGTGAAGGGAATGCAGCAGAATGAGGGTCTGCAAGGGCCAGGCAGCTGCACACCGACCCAAGAGCGTCAGGAGGAATGGAGGCAATGAGGCCCTTCCCTCCCAGGCACGCCCACCCTCGGAGCTCCCAGCGGGGTCTTCAAGCATCTCTGCCCCCAAGGCAGACCCTGGGCTCCTCTCAGAGACAGCTCACACTTGGGGGGGGGGGGGAGATGGATTATTAAGGCACTTCTTGCTTAAGGACTGTGATTCCAGGCCTCTTCCCAAGGCAGGGACATGATCCAAAAGCACTTGGCTCTCAGGGGTGAGCCCCGAAGGAAGGAGGGGGAGACGGAGCAGCTCTCCACTCCGGGCAACGACTGAGTGTCCTGAAAGCAGCCTTGCCGAACTCCTCCGACAGGCTCTATAAAGTCACACGTTAATTTTCCCTGCAGACAGGCAAGTCAAGGAGAAGAGAACCTGATCTTAGCTCCTTCTCCAAGGTCAGAGCTGGGGACCGCGGAGCATCTTCTTGATGATGGCCTGCAGAAGGGGGCACCCTGCTAGGATGCTGCTACTGCCCCCTCTGCCCTGCCCTGGACCCTCTCCCAAGTCAAATCCCAGCCAGGGGCTACCTATCCCAAACAAAGGGCATCCACAACCAAACTCTGCTGCTTGAGGGCAGGAATCCCACCAAATCACCATACACACAAAAGAAAAGAAAGACCTGGGCTAACTTTTCTAGGTGTGTATAAATGTATGTATAAAAAAACCGACCCTCCCTCCCCGCCTGAAGTGGGAGGGAAGGCTGGCTGCTGAGAAACAGGATGAGCCAAAGGTGAGACCGTCTCTGTGTCTTAGCCGGAACCGTTAAGCAAGGCACCCCTGGAAAGTGCACCTCAGGAGGAGGCAGCAAGAGGAGTAAGAAGAGAAGGGCTGGCGAGGAAGAGGAGGATGACCAGCCTGGGAAGGGTTAATTTCCTTGGAAGGCTCCTCGGGCAGCGCCAGCTGCTGTGTTTCGGAAGGTCCTGCTGGCAAAGATGCCCTGGGAGAACTCCTCCTGGGCCTGCTGGAAGCTGGCACCCGTGCGTCGGTACAAAGAGTGCACCTGTGGGAAAGCAACCCAGAAACCCAGAGTGGTCAGGTAAGGGCAGTGCCAACCCTGCCACACATCCCGGGGGACCTTGGCCAAGGCCCTGGACCTTTCCCTGGACTCAGTCTCCCTCTTAATTGGAGACTCTGAGGATGTGGTGAGGAGACAGTGCAGAGAAATGAACAAAGGGCTCTGTGGCCTTGGACCCCTTCTGCTCCTTCCCATCCTCCTCTCATTTGTATGCATACCCACTTACCCGCTTCAGGAGGAAGAGGGAGAGGACAGCACAAAGGGTGAAGAAGCAAGCCACCACTATCATGATGATCGAGACAGCTATAGGTGACTCAGCCTGTAGTGCTGATATAACAATGATCCAGCCACTGAAAAGGAGAAGGGACAGTGAGCGTGGGGAGAACTCAAGGGAGAAGGCCTGAAAGGCTGGCCTAGACAGGACTGGCCTTATCCCAGGGCCAAACGCTGCCTCGGTGAAGAAGGCATCACCAGACTGGCCCTGACAGGTCTGGGGCAAGAAGCCAGGTGTTTTGGCCAATGTTCAAGTGGAATGAAATCTTTCCCCAGGGACCAGCTTGTCCTCCCTATCCGAGGGCCCTGTCCGTCTGTCCCCTGGGCCCTCACGTTCCAAACCTTGCTGGTGGTTTTACCTCCTCCTCTTCCTTACCCCCACCACCACAGACAGGTGTATACAGCCTAATTTGGGGGTTCTTAACCGTGGGCCACAGACAGACTTTTGGGAGTCTATGAATGTTTTTAAAAACCATTCTGATGGCTGCATTTCCATCAGATTGGCTTCCTTTGTATTCCCTTGCATTTTATTTGATATATTTATGCCTTTTGTCCTGAGGAAGGGTCCACTGGGGTAGGTGAAGCTGTGTGACCTTCTGAGCTGAGCTAAGGAAGCAGGAAGGAGAAAGGTCAAGACTCTGCCTGAAAAGGCCCTTCTGGTGGGGAAGACACTATCATCCTTTAGCCTGGGAGGAGCAAAGCTTCGTCATATGGCTACTCCGACACAGACAGACCCTGCAGTTTCCAAGGTCAACATGAAAACCTGCTTCCTCACTCAGCCCTGCCTTCTCCATATACACACACAGACACAGACAATCACCTATCAGCACTGGCCTCCTGGCTGGCTGTTCCTGGCATTTTCCCTGGCCAGCCTCCACGATCCCAGAGCTCTCCCTGCTTGTCTCTGCCTCCTGGCTTCCCAGGTTTCCTTCAAGTCTCAGCTAAAATCCCACCTTCTACAAGAATCCTCCCTCCCACACCCCCCTCTCTCTAAGATGTCCTCTCATTTCTACAGGAAAGATGCAGAATGAAAGCACATGCACAGAGTTTACATGTAATAACATGTATCTGGGATAGACATAGTTGTCTGCATTTGGTCTCCCCTTTTAGAGTATGAGCTCCTTGAAGGCAGAGACTATCTATTGCTTTTCTTTGTATCTCCAGCATTCGGCAAACTGCCTGGTACACAGTAAGTGCTTAATAAATGCCTGCTGATCCAATCCAAAAGAGCAAACCCGCCAGTTATGGTCACCATCAAGAAAACTGCCTCAAAGAAGAACTGGGTCCATGGCGGTGAAGTAGGGGCCCCTCAGGCCTGTCACCGCTTGGGAGCCCTCGGGCACAGCCTGGGCCTTTCTCAAGGCACACCACTTGTCCTGCCCACCACTGTTGGGGCACGAGGGTTCAAAAGGTCACTGATGTCTGAGAGGTTAGAAAATGTTTTTAAAATCACAGAACGGCAGAGCTGGAAAGGCCCAACCAAAGAAACAGGCCCAGAGAAGGGCAGAGTCTTTCCCAGGGACTCCCAGCAACAGACAGCAGAGCCAGTTAGTGACAGAGTCACAAGAATCCCCATCTCTCAACGCCCAGTGTTCCCAAGGACGGCAGCCTTCCTGACTGGAACCATCATCACTGTCCACACCCTGCCTCCTACCAGGCAGGAATTCTACTAGGGGAATGGTGATCCATATAGGCCACTAAGCTGAAAGAGAAAGGACTAGAATGAGAAGCAGCAAACTGGGCAAAGGAAAGAGCCGGGGTGCGAAACACAAAGAGAAAGATAGACATGGAAGGGAGAGGAGAAAGGGAAGTGGGGAAGGAGGGGACAGAGGGAGGGAGGGAGAAAAAGGGGGAGAAAGAGAGAGGGGATGAAAGAGAAAAAAGAAGAGAGGGAAGGGAGAGGATGAGGGACAGGAGGAGAGAGGGACAGAGAAAAGGAGAGAGGAAAAGGGGTGGGGCAGCTAGGTGGTACAGTGGATAGAGCACCGGCACTGGATTCAGGAGGACCTGAGTTCAAATCCGGCCTCAGACACATAACACTTACTAGCTGTGTGACCCTGGGCAAGTCACTTAACCCCATTGCCTAGCCAAAAAAAAAAAAAAGAGACAGAGGAAAAGGAGGGAGAGGGGAAAGAGGGACAGGGAGGAGAGGGAGAAGGAGAAGGATCTCTCCCACCTGCTCAGGATTTGGTGCTGAAGGGGAAAAGCAAAACAGACTCATTCATTCCAGGTGCTGACTGAGCAAAGTGCCAGGCCTGACCTTTGCAATTTCTTGTGGGCACTGAGACAGGAAGAAAACATCAATTCTGATCTTCTCTCAGGGTCTGGTTTTATAGACCTGTATGTCTGTAATGCCCATGGGACTCCAGCTATTGTGGGGAATGCCAATGACCAAACCTCCTTCTGTCTGAGGCCCAAAGAGTTCTCTACTCACAGCAAGAAGGGGAACAAGAAGGCAAGTGTCCAGGCTCCCCCATCCCTTTCTGAAGGTGATGCCTAGCTCTTTGCTTGTGGGAAGGGACTGTGGCTCATTACCCAAAGCAAAGGACAACTACCTTGGGAGCTTGTGGACGGGGGACTGGTTCTGTTCCAGACGGAGGCCTTCTGTGGAGGGGCAGCATTCTTGTACAAGGGTCTTAAAGGCAGAAGGCAGCAGTAAAACCCAGTGACAGGAGGCAGGCTGGAGGTCTAGGCCCAGCGGAGACACTGGGCTAAGCTTTGGGTAGGTGAGGCAGTACAAAGAAGCTGGCAGGAAGCAGAGCACAGAGAGAGCTGGGAAAGAGTCACACAGTCAAGGGTGGGAGCAGCCTGGCCTCACCTGTTCCCCCAGCCCGGGAGGCCCACCAGCTGGATGATGTAGATGGCTATTTGGCAGAAGAACACAAAGAAGAACACGAAGAAGCTGAAGGAGTTGTCAGACCTGTGGAGAGAAGGAGAGAGAAGGCATCAGCTTCCCGGGCACACACGTGAGCAGTGATGAGGTCAAGTCCTAGGGGATGGTGCCAGCCTGCGGGTGATAAAGCCCCAAAATTGGCAAGCTCTGGCTTGCCAATCACCTCTGTCAAACCAGCCCAAGGGGCCTGCTAAGCCCGAGTCATCCCCGCCCCTTGCCCCCACTTGCCTGAAGGCCTTGTAGATGGGTCGGTACCAACAGATGAAGGCACATGGGGTGAAGAGCACAAACCACAGGATTGAGAGGCCAAAGTCAACTCCCCTATAATCGTGAGCAGAGAACGCGGCCAGGAAGGCGAGAAGATTCAGGAGCAAAGTCACTGAATGCACTGGAGAAAGGAGGTAAGAAAGATTATGCCAGGGCAGTCAGGTCAGGGATCAGGCCAGCCCACTCACTCTGGGAAGGAATCAGGGTCCAGCACTAGGGAAATCAAGATAGTAGAGGGGGTATGGTCACTGCTAGCATTAACAGGTCAACTTTTTAATAATTCAAGCAATGATTACATTTCAATAAATCAATTAACAAGTACTGACTAAGTGCCTAATATATGCAGGGCACAGTGCTGGCTGCTGAGAATGTAAAGACAAAGGCAGTACAGTCCCTTCCCCCACCCACAGCCAGGAGATGCAACATGTACAGATGAAGACAGATGCAAAGGAGACACAAGGTGATCTGGGATGGAAGGCACTAACAGCCAGGGGCATTAGGAAAGGCATCCTGGAGAAGGGGGCCCTTGGAGGAGATGGAGGGAGGGGACTCCAGGGATGGGGAAAAGCCAGTTCTAAAGGCACAAAGATGAGAGATGGACTGCCAAGTGTGAGCATCAGCTAGAGGCCAGGCTGGCTGTACCACAGTGCGTGAATAAGGTTGGAAAGGTAGGCTGGGGGCACCATGCGAAATGTTTTCCTTTTTCTTTTCTTTTTTTTAAACTTTTTACTAATTTATTTTGATTTATCAATCACTTCCATAAGCTTTTGAGTTTAAAATTTTTCTCTCCCTCCTTCCCCAAGACAGAGCACAATCTGGTACAGGCTTTACATATACATTCCTACTAAACATACTTATGTGAAATGTTTTCAATGCCAGAGGAAGCTGCATTGGATCCTGGAAGTAACAGGAAGCCACCAGAGGTTACTGAGCAGGGGAAGGACGTGGTCAGACTGGCCCGTGGGCAGTGTGTGAAGGCTGGATTGGAGGGGAAGTAGGGAGAGTAATTAAGAGTCCAGGTGAGAGGAGAGGAAAGCCTGAACTAGGGTGGTGGCTGTGAATGCACAGAAGGGGACAGAGGGGAGAGATGGGAGGGAGGGAGAGATAAGATGGGACAACTGAGTGGGATGTGTGGGGCAAGGGATACAGAGAAAGCAAAGATGACACCCAGAAGTGAGCACTGGCAAGCTGTGAAGTGGGTGATGTCCTCAAGGCCAGCCGGTCCTTGGGCTCGGCCCTTTGACTGAATCCAAACTTCACCAAACAAATTCCCTTAATAAAAGGCAGCACCCAAGAACCTAGAGGACCAAGTGTGGCCTCGAGGCTGCAGGTTCCCCACCACTGAGGGTGGGGTCCTCAACCGAAACAGGGCAGTGATGAAGAGGGATGGGTTCGGGGGAAAAAGAATGATTTCAGTGTTTGAGATGTCTACAGGACAGTCAGTCTGCAATGGCCAGTAGGCAGCTGATGATGCAGGAAGAGGGAGGGAGGGAGAAGGAGGGAGGGAGGGAGAGGGAGGGAGAGGTAGGGAGAGGGAGGGATAGGAAGGGAGAGGGAGGGAGGGAGAGGGATAGGGAGAGAGAGAGAGATTTGTGAATCACCAGCACAGAGATGATAATTAAATTCAAGTGAGTTGATGAAGGGCTAGTCAGGGGTGTCTGGTAGAATGTGACCCAGCAAAGGAGATGGAGAAGGGGCAGTCAGAGAGGCAGGAAAAGAACCAAAGGGCAACAGTGTGACAAAAGCTGGGAGAGGGAAAGGGTACTGCTCAATAGTTATCAATGGCTGCAGAGAAGGCAACAAGAATGAGGACTGAGAAAAGGCCCAAATATTAGGCAGTTGAGAGGTCACTAGTGACTTTGGAAGATGTAGTCAGAAGTCAGCAGATGGCCAGCTTTCTCAAGAAGCGGGGCTCAGAATGGGAGGAGAGATTCAGGATGACACTTGGCAGTACCAGCAGATAAGGAGAGTGAGGGGAGATACCAGGAGGGCAATCTGTCAGAGAAGACAGGAAGCGAGGGGCCCCAGGGCACAGAGACAGGGGAGGAGGGGAGGTCTTGGCAAGGAAAATGGCCACGTTTTTCTCAGAGCTGCCGATTTCCTGTGCCTTGCTCATGCCTCTCCTGTTTTTCCACACTTTCTCCCATAGCATCGGGCCACCTCTTCTGTCATGTCTTTGCCCAGCTCTGCCCCCTGCCCCTACACCTGCATGGTCTCTCCCTTTGTGGGCCTCACCTGCTGCCTCTTAAGACATGGAATCAGAGGCCCTTCAGGACAAACGGGAAAGCTGGAAGGCTGGCTGGCTGCCGCCTCATCCAACCCCAGCACAAAACGACTCTGCTCACATCTTGACATATCCCACAAGGGTCCTGCAGCTTCTGCCTCAAGTCCTCATGTGGAGCCCTCTCCTGCGCCCATAGTGTCCCCAAGGGTAGCATTCTGCCATCTACCTTTATTGCTTCCTCAGCACTGTACTCTGCACACAGTAGGCACTTAGCAAATGGCTTAATAAATATCTGAATAATGAACAGAAAGAAGGCATCTAAATGTGTTTGAGCAAAACAGTGTCAGTTCCTTCCATCTTGATTCTTCATGAACTCATGAGACTGCGGGCCCTAAGGCAGCATCCCCTGGGAGATATGGAAGAGGCCTGAAGGGAAACCAAGCCATTTACAGCTTCCAAAGCAAATTCCCAGGAGAGCTACAGAATCCTCAGAGAAAGAAAGGTCCACACTCCATCTCTCTCTGGTCCCTGAGTTGGAGGCAGGAGATCATCCTTGGACACCTCTGCACTTCAGGCTGGGTCCTGGCAGCCACTGAAAGCCAGGTGCTTCCCATGAGGCTGTGCATGCTTCAACAAAAAAGGGCCACTTCAGGAGCAGCCGGAGTTCTTGGCTTGCCTGGATCACTTTCTACTCTAACGACCAGGAAAAGAGGGAGAGGAGAGATGGGTAACGTCAGACACAGGGTATCTCAACGGCCACCAAAAAGCCTCCTCCTCTCTGCTCCCCCAAAACACAAGTGAAAACACCGGTGGTCCTCTTTGGAGTGCCAGGCTGCCTAAGCTGCTGACAGTCCAATGTGGTTCCCAGCAGGGGCTGCCATCCTGGCCAAAGGGCGGGCAGGGAATCATGAGGAGTCATTCACCTATGGATGCACACAGACTCCCGAGCCAAGCCCCTCTCAGGCCTCTGTACATACTCACACATCCAGAGGTAATACATCATCTTGCACGTTCGCTGGTAATCAGCTGGGATCTCTGCAGAGAAATCCTGGTAGAAGCAGGGCTTGATGGGGCAGACTGAGGGCAGTGGGGGCCAATTATTTGGCCTCACTGTTAGGGAAAAAAAAAGCAGGTAAGGGAGCCTCCTACAACAGAAGAGGGTGGAGGCTGGGGGAACAGAGCCAGAGGAAGTCTGGTTCTTAGAAGTCTTAGGAAGACTCAGTGGGCCCAGCACTCAGTACGCATTTAATAAATAGTTCTTAGGGGCAGCTAGGTGGCGCAGTGGATAGAGCACCGGCCCTGAAGACAGGAGGACCTCAGTTCAAATCCGGCCTCAGACCAAACACTTGACACTTACTAGCTTATGTGACCCTGGGCAACCCACTAAATAAATAAATACATAAATAGTTGACTAACTGGGTGGCCAAAAGCACCCCAAATCTCAAAAGTGGTGTTAGGGAATGGAGAAAGCAGGGACTTATAGCTTACTTTCTAGAAATTGTCTCCAAAGAATTTGCCAGGCATAAAAGTGCTTTGAAAAAGGTTAGCAAACTATACAAACATGAATACTGTCATTCATTAGCAGTTAAAGCCTCTTGTCCAGGGCATATAATCATAACCAGGAAATGCAGGGAGAGAGCTCTATCTCCTTCACCTGTGAGCGAGCCAGAGGCACAGAAAACCTGCCCAGAACAGGGATGCTGGAGAGCGGCTACCCCATGCCCTTGGGGCTGGGCTGCCACTAGCCCCTTCTACCTCCAGGCTCTTGGCCCTTTCCCCAGAGTGCACCACACGACACTGCTAGGATGTTTAGATGAAAAAAACTTAACAATTTACAAAAGGGCCTTTTTCATGACACCCCTGAGGCAAAGGAGGCAGAGTCCCCAACTGACATATCCCCATCTGATCCCACCCCCCCCAACAAAGTCACGCCACTAGGGTCAGCACACCTGGCCAGGCAGGGAAACAGGCTCACCGTGCAGGCTGGCTGTGGCGTTCTGCAGCTCACGCTCCTTCCTGTCCAGCTCTGCAGCTTTCCTCTCCAGCTCTTCCTGCTGCTGCAGCAGGCCAGCCTGGGCGGCTGAGGCCACAGCCTACAGGAAGCAGATGCCCGGGGATAAAACGGACCTTCAATCGAGCAGGCAGTCAGAGGGAGCCCCTGTGGCCACTCACGGAAGACAGCTCTGCACTGAGCCTCAGACATGGTCTCAGGCCCCCAAAGAGCACTGTGAGTCAATCTCCAGGAGATCAGAGGGATTCCTATAGGCCCGTTTCCCACCTTCCACTATCCTCCACCCCAGCCCAATTATACCCACAGCTACAGAGCCCAGGTGGGAGAACGATCCCCTCAGTGCTCCACAGGCCTGACACATGGGTACAGATGAAATCAGATGACAAAAGATGAAGGGAATTCATGAAGGAGCTACACGGGCCCAAGAGGATGATGTTTTACGGCCCGAGAGGGAAGTGTAGACCTCAACTGGACGCTCTGGCTGAGAAGTGCTGATTGTACACATACGACCACTGGGCCTTCTGAGCTCCCCCTGCCCAGGTATCAGATCTGGAGGTCTGGGGGCAGACACAATCCCAAAATTCCCTCTGGCTCAGCTCGGTTCTGTCTAGCTGCAGGGACTTTTGGAGCCAAAGCTTTCTCTCCTAGGCACACTGGGCAGGAAGCCTGGTATGCTGAGGCTGGAGTCCATTATCCCCATCTGTAGACTGGCATGGGGAAGGGGAAGAAGAGCCAGGTCCAACTCATAGCCTTTGAGTCTCGTGAATATCCTCTGCCCAGCACCTGGCTGCAGAACCGGCCTGAATCGGAGAGCTGCCCCAGCTGGGCAGAGCTAGGTGTGCTCTGGTACCCCACGTTCCCACTTGGAGAAGACTGCTCTTTTCCCAGAGCCTGACTAGGCTCCCTCTGCAGTTCCATTTTTCCCAGAACCCAGTTCTCAGCATTATACAGTAGAAAGAGCATGAGGTTCCAAATCCCACCTCTTGACATTGATTAGTATCTGTGTGACCTGGGGTAAATCCCTCCTCCTCTCTGGGCTTCAGTTTCGTCATGTGCACAATGAAGGAGTTGGGCCTGGCAGCCTCCAAGACCCTCTCTTGCTCCTGATTGATGGCCCTGTAATCCCTCCTTGTCTTCCATGACTGCTTTTACTTTGCTCTGGGGAAGACCAGAAGTCTTTGATTTGAATCCTGACCCCAAGGCCTAGGTACTCTCCTTCTGGATCCCATTCGTTATCTGGAAAGTGTAGGGTTGAACTACCCCTCAAGGGCCTTTCCAGCTCCTAGGACCCTATTCAATAGATCCTTAGAAACACTGAGGCCCTGCAGGAAAGCAGCCTCTCCCATGAGTGATAAGAGTATCCCTCAGTCTTAGGGCAGGCCCCACCCCCTAAACAGCCCTGGGCCAGGCCCTGCTTCTCCATTTGCAGTTCACTTGAACAGAGATGTTCATGGGGCACACACTGGGCTGCAGAAGCCCTGGAGCTTGTTCCCTGTGACTCTACCAGGCCCTTCTCTTCCCTGGACTCCTGGGCCATAACCACCAGACGTTGCTTTGAAAGGCGTGCAAACAGCCCACCCAGAAAGGCTGCATGCCTCCATGCCCATGTGGTGTCCACCTCTTCCTCCTCAAGACCTCCTGTGGGGCTGGGAAAGGAATGGAGCATGGATCCTTTCTTCAGGAGGGCCTGGCTTAAGAAGCCACTGACTGGACCCAGTGGGGCAGATTTCGAACCCTTTCCATAGAGGAAAGGGACAGTATGGTTCTGTGCCTTTGACCCTTGGGGGTCCAGCCTGGGGGCACCCGAGCACACCCAGCTTGGCCTGGCTGGGGCACCAGCTCAGGGAGCTCGAAGGGAGCTCTCACTGTCTCAGATCTCTTCTTAATGCCTACCTTAGAAAGCTTTCGAATGTGGCTGCCATTCAAAACACTAGCTCTTCCTGGCAGCAGGTGTCTCTCTGTGAACCTGCTCACTGCCAGGAACATGGTAGGTAGGTACTTGTCAGCCTGTCTAAGCAGGAGCTGCCACATACAACTATACTGTGTCTAACTCTACAATTCTGTAACTCTATTGCCTTGAAGAGCATCAGGAAAGCCAGCCAGTGAAGAAGGGAAAAGAGACTGGGTGCCCAGATAGGAGGCAGGCCCAAACCCCAGGTGATATTTCACTCTGAACGTATCCAGACTCTCTTTGCCTTCTCCCTCCCCAGTCCTGGGATTCCCATTTGGGTAAGTCAAGAGAAGCTACAGCCACAGGACTCCCTGACCAGGACTGAGCTGACTGCCTCCAGAGAAAGAGCTCAAAATAATCTGGAGATTTCATACGTTGCTCTTCCCTAATGGAACTGAATTAGAAAAACATGAGACTGTGTCCCTCCCCTTGAAAACCATGGCAAGGCAGGTTTGCAAAAGGCAGTGATGGTGCTCCCCACCCCAACCCTGCTGAAGGGCAGTGCTTCTGAGGGGCAGGGGGCTGCTTCTAGACAGTACCTGGGGGGTCGGTTCCACTGAGGGCTGAAGAACTGCAGGCTGTGATGGCCCAGTGGGCTGGGAGGCTGGGACTGTCGTTGCCGCTGCATTTGTCTAAGGGAAAAGATAGGAAAAGACTAAAGAGGGAGATTAGTGCATGTGGGCCCTGCAGGTCTCAGGAAGGGACAATCCCCATCAAACATCGATGCACAGGCAGACAGGCACAAGGATCTCGACAAGGGATAAGCAAGCAGACACACCTATGGGGCTTTGGTGAGAGGAACCATGCACTGGGACAGACTTGATTAAGCCATCTCCTCTGGGCCAGGGATCTCAGCTCTCGAGCCACAGGCCGTCCCCAGTTTCTTGTCCAAAAGATATAAAGTCAATATGAGGCCAAATTTAGCACACCTAAGATCCAATGAGTCATGGGAACAACACTTGTTTTCACCTGCTTTTTCATCCTTCCTACTTTGGAGAAGGGAATTTCAATGGCTTAAACCTCCTTCCAATGGGAAAAACCTCCCATCATTCCTCACTGAGAGTCTACCAGAACTCCCAGAATGACTTATACATTACTTGGAAGTTGTTCCTTCTAGAGCATTTAGGGTTAGCAGATGTCATCAGAGCTGCCTCCAGGGCCCAGGCCCACGGTCCCGAGGCTACAGAGGGAACCACGAGGTATGTGCGCATGAGGATGCTGGAGCGGGCACCGTCATGGGGGGGAGAGACAGAAGGGCACACTTACCAGCCGGGGATTCTCTGAGAAAGGGTTGAATTCCGACAGGCCACTCTGAGGAGGATTGGTCAGTTGGGTCACAGATGGATCCTGAGAAGATGATGGGAAAAACCCAGAGACACATTTAAAGTCTATTACCAAGGGAAACGAGCTTGGAAATCTGAAGAAGTCCGTTAATGACGAGGGCTGAGTTGTTATCCCATTTTAGTCTCTCTCCAGAGCCTGGCTTGTGGGCATTCAGCCCAGTGACACATGGCAGTGAGGTGCAGGTGACCCCTGAGAGCTGGCACAGTAACAACCAGGGACCATTGGTTCTGTCTAATCCTACTTCTGACCCGGTGAAATAAAATGCTAGCTCTTGAGAGTACACTCTGAGCACTACAGGAAGGGAGCTGTAACGTGTTTTCACAGCTCTCTAGACAGGAGGAGCCCTCTCCCTCTAATACCAGATGAGAATTTTTGTACTCTCTCCTGAGCTCCAGACATGTGTCACCAATGGCTTACTGGACATCTCCACCGGATGCCCCACAGGTATCACAAACTCACCATGTCCAAAACACAAGCTGCCCCTCCCAGGATAAGATCATCACTTCTAATCTCACCTCCCAGAGCTAACTCAAGCCTTGACCACCTCCCACTCTGACTGGAGGCTCAAGGATGGAGCACTAAACGCCTCCCAATGCCTTCCTTTATATAGAGAAGAAATTGTACTCTCAGCTCCCTCCACTTTGCATCTGATGCCCAGTCTGGTTTCAACTCCAGGGAAAAAGATGCCCCTGAGCCAGGTACCCTCGAGGGTCCATTCTATCACATGCATTTCCTATATCCTGTTGAGTCTTTAGATTGTAAGCTCCTTGAGGGCAGCTTAGCTGACACAGAGTGGACACTTAATGTTCACTGGCTCCTTGCAGGTCATCCTCCACTCTTCTTTCTCCCTCAGCTTCCACATCCAATCATTTGCGAAGTCCAGTTGATTCTACACTCACGCCCTCTCACAAGGCTCCTTCCCACCCTAGTCCAGGCCCTTATCACCTCCCATCTCCAATAGCTTCTTACTGGTCTCCCCTTTCCAAGCCATCCTCCACACAGATGTCAAGATGGTGACCCAATGGTGGCCCAAGTCTGACCATAGGGCTTGCTCCCCTGTTCCAGAAGCTCCCTCCCTCCTGATGGCCTCTTGGATAAAATACAAAAGACTCTGGCAGTGAAAGCTCTTCACAATCTGGACCTAGTCTCCCCACTTCTGAACCCCAGCACAGTCTATGGATTGGCAAACTGGCCTGCTCAATGTCTCCCACAAATGATACTTCATTTCCAGCCCCATGCCTTTCTTTGCACAGTCTGTCCTCACTACCTTATATCTGTCTAGCTTCTGTCAAGGTTCTGCTCAAATGCCACCTCCTACATGAAGTCTTTCTTGACTCTCCCCTCCAATCTTACTGTGTGTATGTTTTGTATGCATTCTCTTTGGCCATGTTGTCTTAGCCCGGTAGAGTGTAAGCTTCTTGAAGGCAGCTTTGTTCCCAGATTTTTAGGTACTTCATAAATGTTTTCTGAATTAAACTGAGCCTGAAGATCAGAGCTGAAGGCCCAGGTCTGCCATTACTTGCTGTGGGATTTGGGGCAACTTAACTCTCCGAGTCTGTTTTTTTAGCAATAAAATGGAGACAATAAACAGCATCTGACCTACTTCACAGGCTTGTTGGGAAGATCAAATAAAAGACACCCTGCTAAGGTGGCGTCAGCCTCCACCTGGCTCTCCTATTCCTATTCCAATACAAATCCGAAATCTGTATGAGGCTGGATAATGACCAAGAAATTCAGGGAGGAACTACAAGAAATGACTTCTCCCCCAAGCACACAATCATCACCAGAAGCCCATGGGCAAGAGGAAAGGGGGCCTTCCTACAAAGCCAGCAAAAGGCAGCCACCTACCTTGACGGGAGACTGACACATGTGGTCTGTGAGGCTCTGTGACCAGAGGCCTCTGGTGGAATCCAGGGAAGCCTGGAGATGACCCTGGGCAGCCACCGGGTGCTGCAGTGCTCAGATTGGGCAAGTCCAGAGCCTGGGGCTCTGAGGTTCCTAATACTATCCTGAGGGGACTGCCCTCTGAACTACAGAGATCCAGAGGAGCCTAACTTAGAGGTGGAGGTTATACCTGGGTTACCCACTTCCCAAGGATAGATGGGAGACCAAATGAGACGATTTATTTGTAAAATGCTTTTAAAACTGTAAAGTGCTACTTATAAATATCAGCTCTTGTGAGGAAACGGAGGCTCAGAAAGAGCGAGGAACTTTGTACAGTTACAGAGCTAGCAGTAAGTGGCCATGACGAGATCTGAACCCAAGCCTTCTGACAAAGTGCCATTCTCTTTCTATGACAGCCTGCCCCCATTTTCTTACTTAATGATACTCCCAGGAGGCTCAGGGCAGGGCAGTCTTGCTGTGACCTTCCTGCATAAATCTCTGGTTGATCAATGATGTGGGCTGAGCCCCCAGGCTACAAACGGTACCTTCAAATCCTCAAGTGAATAGGAGCTTGGAGCCAGACCAAATGATCCCAGAGCTCCAAGTCACAAGAGGGAGCGAGGGAGCGCTGCCCACAGGGAACAAGAACCCGAACAGAGAACCTCAGGGCTTCAAAGGGGCTGCGTCCACCTGCCTCAAATCCTCCCCATCATTCAAATCCCATTCCAGCCAACAGTGAGGGTTCTTCAACCAGTCAAGTTTGCACCACAAAGTCTAGAAAGAGCTTGTTTCTTAACTCTAGAAGGTGCTTTCCTGGAGGGAAGGGATCCTGCCAGACTGAGGGAAGGCTCCTCAGACTGAGCCCCTGAATGAGTAAGCACTCTTCTTCTGTAATGACTCCTGCAAGCCCCAGACCCCCCTCCCTTTCCATGGCTCCTTTGAGAGGGAAATTTTTCTGCTCTGTCATTTCTTTTCTAGTTTCTCAGTTCTAGGAAGTGCTGGGGATATAAGGGCAGCTGGAGGGATTGTAACCCTAAAGCAAGACTGGCCTTTCTGAGATGGAGCACCAGGGCCTACCTTCTGGGATTGCCTAGAGTGCTGCTTGAAGAGTCCCCCTGCCCAAAAATATCTTCCTCATTCCCATGCTGCAATCCCATCACTTCTTTGGGTCTTAAATCTTCTCATACTACACAAAGGTCTCTGAGAAGAGGAATACCTTATGCCCTACCTTAATACAAGATCAGCTGCCGGCCAGCAGAGAGCCTGGCCGGTCCAGAACAGGATCCAGGAAGGTAGAGACAAGAGGGGATGGGGAGGAGCAACCACCATCATCACCAACAAGCTTGTGCCAAAGAGCGCTCAGAAAGCTCAGCCTTATGCACCCCTACACCTGCTAGTGCCCAGATTCTGTTAACTGCTGGAGCTGGGACATGAACAGAAGAATCCCTGGAGCCCCTGTAGGCTGGAAACCACCCTGTTTTAGTGGCTAATAAAACACACTCCTAGGGTGAGACTGGGGATGTCTTCATTTCAGTTGGCTCAATGGCCAGCTGACAACTCTACAACTCTGGCCCCTTGAGAAATAGAGACATTGAGCACCTGCTCTAGTTTCAGAGCATAAGCAATCTTGTTAAGCCCCAGAAATTGGACACTCCCTACCCAAGAACTAGTTATCTGAGTCTATACCACCATGGGGGGGTTGGGGAGGAGGCAGGGCCAAAGAACAAGCCTTTGCTAGCAGGTGTTACAGTGCACTGACCCGGGTCCGAACCTTTGTGTAACGAATGACTCTCACGGGCATTCCTCTACCTCGTTCTCTAGGCAGCACCACAGGAGAGGGCTTTCACTGAACAGGTGTGACCCTGGAGGCAAGGCACCTTCTGGGGCAGCTTTACCACTTTTCAGACAAGGAAACTGAGGTCCAAAAGGTAAAAACACTTGCTCAAGGTCACACAAAGCCAGACCTGGAATTCGAAGTGGTCCTTTTATTCCAATTGGCCCAGGCTGCTTCACTTAAGAGGGCCTGTCACCTCATCATCACTTGGACACTTGAAAAGCCTGTCCCTCCAAGACCCTTAGATGAATTCTGGTGACCAAGGTGCATACAACCTTGTCTGCAATGGGATTCACCCTTGCTCTCTGGCTAACCTGGACGTTAGAAAGGACTAAACTTCCCATGCCCAAAGCGGGTGATTAACTCTTACTCACTGATTCAAAGGGAGTAACCCACAATAGGGAGTAATTCCACATCAATGACTCATCTTCAAACCCCAGCTGTGTGACCCTGAGCAAGTCACTTCACCTGGTCTCAGTTTGCTCACTAGTAAAATGAGCTGGAGAAGGAAATGGCAAATCGCTCCAGTATCTTTGCCAAGAGCTCCCCAGATGGGGTGATGGAGAGTTGGACACGGCTGAAAAAATGACCCAACACACCTACTCAAACTGTATAAAATGGTTACCTTCTATTTCTTCTTGAACTCCACAGAAAGCAGAGTTAAGTTCAGCGACCCCACTCACATTAGGAACCGGGTAAGGACAGACTCCTGGAAAAACCCCCACTAAATTTGGAGTCATAAGATCTTCAATTTAGAGTGAAAAGGGCCCTTGGTAATCACTTAGTCCAACTCCCTAATTTTATAGGTTCAGAGACAGAGGCCCAGGGGCATGAAGTGATTTGCCTAAGGTCACATAGTGTCAAGAGACAGGATTTGAACTCGGATCTTCCTGACTACAGTCTGGCACTCCGTCCATTTCTCTATGCTGCTTCTGGGAGTCAGAAAGCCACGCCTTAAGGGCTTTGCTTAGGGTCAAGTTCAGGCCTCTTCCCCGTGGGGAGCTGCTGGGGGGCCATCGAGGCCCTGGGGACAGTTCATGTGGCTTTTTACTTGTTTTCAATGTGCTGCCCAAGTCCTGGTTCACCTCCTATGTCCTAAGTTCTTCCCAGTCTTCTCCTTCCCTACAAATGGTAGCCCAGATAAGCACTAGTTTCAGGTTGTGAGCACAGCTGGTGCTTTATACACTTTACTGAATGAATGCTGAAGGAGGTAAAAGCATGGCGGGATCAATTCTTTCCTGCAAGGTAAGGGCTCCGGTTGGTGAAGAGACATCATAATTTTGAA